CTGCAACAGCATGCATTGAACTCATACTAATAATTTTATGGTCGTTTTATGGTATGTTGCAGTTTTACTACTTTATGCATTTAAGGGTTAAATCTTCTGTCTCAAACAATTCTAAATCAAACCCTACAAGGTTAATCTCTCGTTTGTGTGTAACTGTTGAAGTCCCATGAAGAGTATTAAATTTGATAGGTTTTTCTAACTTGATCCTATCTGCAAAAGGATAACTTTTACTAATATAACTGCTCGTTGCACCAGAGTCTATTAATATATACACGTATCTTCCATTGGGTGCTACACATTTATTAGTATAACTTACGCTAGAGGATACTTCGTTATAGATTCATTGTCTTCTTGGTCGCCTATTTGGTTTATGCGTTGTGCCTTTCTCTGGTACGCGTTTGATGCTTCATCTCTTGTCCTTTTGAATTGTTGACCAAAACTCTGTATTGCTTGTCTAAATGGGTTGTGTGGTTGGGGCTGCTGTTGTTGCTGCATCTGTTGATTTCTCTGTGGTTGATGGAATGTTTGTCTACGGAAACGGCCAGATGAGTCGACATCCATTGGTTCAGGTGGCGGTTCTTGATTCAGGAGACGTTGCTGTTGATACTGCCTCTGCATGCCTTGTGGGTACTGCATGTTTGCCATTCTTGGAACATATTCCAACTGATGATAGTGAGAGTCGTGCTGCATTGTGCGAGCTATCCCATATGCTTCCATTAGGTTGGTGCAAGATCTCGAGTAAAGTGCATTTTTTGTTGCCGCACTTCTCAATCCTGCTTTGAACGTTCGTACTGCTTTTAATTGAACTTCCTTTGAAAGTGCGTCGATCACGTTCTCGTTCTTGTGGGTCATCTCTATTTTTAAGAGTACCACGTTTAAAGCTTGATTCAGATGATCAAAGTATATATGTAACGTCTTCTCCGTTTGTCTAATCCTCATCATGTCCTCCTCTAGAACGTAGATAGTTACGTATTGCTATCGCAATTGAGAAAGATAGCCACTACACTGATGAACAATGTAAGACTCTGAGAGAAAACTATATACAGAAGCATTTGATCTACTGAGAGGCAAATAACAGGAAAGCTGCGCAAATTTTGTAAACAACTAAACGATAGCTGAATTTCTGAAATCATAGATACATTTAAACTCGTGATGCTGATCAACGACCACT